TACTTGGCTGTTAACACAAGACTGTATAAATATTTCATTCGGTTTTATTATTAGCTTTTGAAAAAAAAAAAAAAGTATGCCAATCAAGATTGTTCGTTGGGACAATTAATTTTTCCTTTTTTCTTACCTTGATAGTTTAAATATGTCATATTATTCGTCCCAGTGGCGTAATCAAAATGGCGAACAAAGTTTGTCTATTTATTATGATCTTACTTGTACACTCTCCTTTCACTTTAATATTTCCAATCCGTTTTAATATAAATTTGCGATTATATAATGCTAATTATATATATATCAGAAATAATTATATATATATATATATATATATATATATATATATATATATCAAATCATTGAAATATAATCGTAAAAATAATAATCGAATATTCATTTTTGTGAAACATGTTAATCAATTTTACAACGCTTCCTCTCTCTCTCTTTCTCTCTCTCTCTCTCTCTCTCTCTCTTTCTCTCAATCTGGTGGTTATATAGATAAGTGAAAAGAGAAATTAAAAAAAGAAAAGAAAAAATAATAATAATAATAATAATATATATATATATATATAAATATATAGTTAGATGAACCGAAGCTAGCACGTTACTTCGTTTCAACTCTATCGTCGATAGACGCCGTTCTTTCGCCGGTCGCAGATAAAAACGTCAAAGGCGAACGTTGTAAATCTAACGGCACGTACAATGCATCCTTGTACCGACCCGATTACCAGTTATCGCCGCTCGTAATGCGTGCACGACGATAAGGGGTGTCCGATCTGGAGGAATCTTTTCTTCATCATCTCCAGCTTCTTCTCCTCCTCTTCTTCTTCCATTTTTTTTTCTTTTTTTTTTCTTTTTTCTTTCTTTTTTCATTTTCTCCTTCATCTTCTCTGTCATTTGCTCTTCCTTCTAGCGAGACTTTTGCACATCTGAAATCATACCGATTCGAGTTAAGTTACTTTCTAAACTTATCCACTTTTAAACGCACATTTTCGAATGTCACGATATTAGACATGTTAAATGTTTCTTTTAATCGATAATTTCTAAAAGTCGAGATCCCTCGGCGAGTTTTTCCGATCTGTAAAAATTATCAAACGTCGGACAATTATTTAAAATTTTACGAAGATATAATATTAAAATTTTTGTAAATTTTATTAAAAAAAAAAAAAAAAAAAAAAAAAAAAAAAAAAAAAAAAAAAAAAAAAAAAACCCAAAAAATCAGATCTCTCATCGGTTAGAAGTTTTATCGTACGGTAATAAGATCAGTAATGTCTCGAAACTATTGAAATCCCGTGCGCAATTATTTACACATGAAAATAATATAAATTATAAGAAAACTTGTGCGTCGAATATTCTCTGAGAAACGGAACAAAAAGAGTAAAAGAGAAAATAAAAGAAAAATTAAAAAGAAAAGAAAAGAAAAAAAAAACAGAAAAGAAAAAAGAAGGAAAAAAAAGAAGAGAAAAAGAAAAGAAAACAAAAGAAAAACTATTTTGATCAAGTGTGGGTGTTAATCATGGCGTCTAAAAAGTGACGCGAGACAAAAGAGTATTTTTTTGTTCTCTTTCTTTCTTTCTTTCTTTCTTTCTTTCTTTCTTTCTTTCTTTCTTTCTTTCTTTCTTTCTTCTTTCCTTCCTTCTTTCCTTCCTTTCTTCCTTTCTTCCTTTCTTCCTTTCATTCTCATTCATTCATTCATTCATTCATTCATTCCTTCTTTCTTTCTTTCTTTCTTTCTTTCTTTCTTTCCTTTTTTTATTTTTTTTTTTTATTTCTTTTATTTTTTTTTTTTTAAGAGGGTGCATGCATGTAATAAAGAACGTTCACCTGTGTAGTAGAGTAGCGCGAGTTAAAAGAAACGTACGATTCGGTCAACGAACGAGGAACGTCCTCCTCCCTCTACCCCCTCGTCACCTCTTACCCCTCAACCCTTCTCTATCCCCCTGCTTCTCCTTCCTAGTCTTCCTTCTCTTCATCCCTCTGTTCTCGTCGCGCGATCGACCGCCCTTCGTATCGCGACATTTTACGACGTATACCTTGGGAAATTGATTCTGAAACGTGAAATAATGAAATCTGACGTAAGGTCAATCCCATGGGATTTTGATTGGGCCGCATTCATGTTAATGCGCGTACGTGTACCGGTGGTGCCATCTATCGAGATTCGACACTTTTTGTAAATTTAGTTTATCGCGCGCGGGACACGGGACACCTTCGTCATTTTTTTTTTTTGTTATTTCTTTTGCTTTCTTTAGGGTTTTTTTTTGTTCTTTCGTTTTCTTTTGTTCTTCTTTTTCGACATAATGATCAACGAACGAACGTTTATTTTATATAAATCGCACGATTCTTGGTGTCATTGAGCTGATGAAGAAAGAGAGAGAGAGAGAGAGAGAGAGAGAGAGAGAGAGAAGGAAAAGAGAGAGTATGTGTTCGTATGCTGTATTAAAAAAAAAAAAAAAAAAAAAAAAAATGAAGAAAGAAAAAAATAAAGAGGAACGGATAATTTAAAAGA